ATATATTTGTTGATTGCTGATTGAAAGTAGATCATGTATTTAATAACATTAAGTAAATTTCAGTTCTAGATATCAATGTTGTTAAAGTTGAACTCTGGGCGGCACAAAAACTTTAAATGTATTATAGCCACAAAGATGCACCAAATGCCTGTTCAAAGCCAGATATCACCTTGTAAATGAGCATTGACATCATCACCACCATATAGCCTGTGCAGAGCTATGGGAGGGACCCAGCAGGCCCCACCCACTATGGGTCGCTTGCAGAAGGGGATGGAGACAAGACCAGTCACCCTGCACAAGGAGAGAGAGCAGCAGTGACCGGTGTTTATTACAGGAAGCTCCTGCATGGAGGCAAAGTCTCACATTGGAATGCTACACAGATCCGGAAGAAATATACAAAGCACGTCAAGATTCAAGGATGTATACAAATGGCTCTTGTATGAAGACAATATTTCCTTATCCCAGAGTTCAGATTTAACAAAAATAGTATTTCCTTCAAACTTTTTTGTAATTGTCTGTGGTGCCACAACCCCTTCAAAGAACTACCAACGTTGAAGTTTGAACGTTCCCATTCAAAATACATTCATGGCAATGGAACACTAATCAGAATGAACACGATTATATAAAAGCAGGGTAAGGTAATGCACCCAATTAGTGCCATTTGCAAACTTCCATCTTCAGGACTGCGACAGGACTAACTCCTGCCTCTTACTAGCATAGCATCCTGCAATCAAGGTGATCTAAGTTAGAGACAAAGTTTTTAATTATGTGCGATTGCTCGTCACATTCACTCAATAATTATAATTAATCACGGGGTCTTGTAGAGCAGGAAATCATTTCTTTATAATGAGCAGTTATATGATAATGAGTGTTTTACAATTATATGTAATAACCTTCCCCTTAACAGTGTCACATTTTGTAATGTGCGTTATGGAAAGGAATGTAGAGAGATTTATTTGGTTGAAATAAACGGGATCAACATGACATAAATGATTAATCGGTGTGGCTTTTTTTTTTTTTAAACCTGTCTTTCTAGAAGGATAGTAATTAAAATGTATATTGCTCAGGCATACCTGTGCTGCTTCTAGCTTAGACTTGCCATAAACAGCCCAACGGTGACTGGACATGGATTGACAAACATAGGGGTACCTCTGTTGGGTGATAATGAGTGCTACTGACCTTGCTTCATCCATCAGGCAAGCCATATGATAAACAGTCCCTTGGGAAACCCACTTACACTTACCGATAACCCCTGTGTATGGCTGCTAAATGACTGCGGATATCACCACTCCAATCAGGCTACGAACAAGATGCCACCAGCACACCGAAATGTATGTCCAAACAAACGTCCTTTACTTATAAGTGAGGAGATTAAGGGGGGACATGATTTTGATGTACAAGATGTTCAATGGGGATAGCAACATCAGCAATAAACTTTTATAACAAGGACTAGTGGCCACCACCTAAAACTGGTGGAAAAATTATTTAACCACAAGGGCCGTAGGGACTTCTTCTCAGTTAGAGCAGTTAGGGTCTGGAACTTGCTGCCACGAGCAGTGGTATCAGCTGAGAGTGTTTGGACAACTTCTTTATATAGTTACATAGTTAGGTTTGAAAAAAGACACAAGTCCATCGAGTCCAACCTATAGAGATACAAAGAAAAAATAAAAAAAAGAAGAAAAGCCTAAACAGAACTCTATGCCCACAATTACCCAATGTTGATCCAGAGGAAGGCAAAAAAAACCCTATAAAGCATGGTTCAATTTGCTCCAACAGGGGAAAAAATTCCTTCCTGATCCCATAAGGCAATCGGATATTCTCTGGATCAACAATCTCTGATGCTTATTATACGTTTAAGAACTCAATATCCAGTAATATTCTGTGCATTTAGAAATACATCCAGATGTTTTTTTAAACAATTAACCGAGCTAGCTAGAACTAGCTCCTCGGGGAGTCTATTCCACATTTTCACAGCTCTAACTGTGAAGAATCCTTTCCGTATGCAAAGGTTAAACCTCTTTTCCTCCATATGCAAAGAGTGCCCCCTTGTCCTTTGCAGTGACCTTAACGTGAATAATTTGGCACCAAGTTCTTTATATGGACCATTTATGTATTTATACATGGTGACCATGTCCCCCCTTAATCGCCTCTTCTCCAGAGAGAACAAATTCAGGTCAGCTAATAGTTCCTCATATCTGAGCTCCTTCATGCCTCTTATGAGTTTGGTTGCCCTTCGCTGCACTTTCTCCAATTCCACAACATCCTGGTGCCCAAAACTGAACCGCATATTCCAGATGAGGTCTTACTAATGCTTTGTACAGGGGCGGGATTATGTCTCTGTCTCTGGAGTCTAGATCCCTTTTACTACAAGAAAGTATTGTGCTTGCTTTAGAAACTGCAGCTTGACATTGCATGCTATTATTGAGTCTATGATCTACCAGAACACCCAGATCTTTCTCCATCATTGACTCCCCCAAACATACTCCCCCTAGAGTATAGGACGCATGCAGGTTTTTAGTCCCCAAGTGCAGAACTTTACATTTATCAACATTAAACCTAATTTCCCAAATAGTTGCCCAATCACACAGAGCATTCAGATCTGCCTTTAAGTTGGAGACATCCTGTAAGGACTGTATTCCACTACATAAGTTAGTGTCAAACACAGAAATAGTACTTTTAATCCCCAATTCTATGTCTATTTATAAATAGGTTAAACACTAAGGGACCCAACACTGAACCTTGGGGAACACCACTTACAACCTCAGACCATTCAGAGTACGAATCATTGATCACCACTCTGAATACGATCTTTAAGCCAGTTTTCTATCCAATTACAGATTGAATACTCTATAACTACTGACCATAACTTATACATTAGCTGCATGTGGGGAACTGTGTCAAACGCTTTTGCAAAGTCCAAGTATACTATATCCACAGGCATTCCTCTGTCCAATTTGTTACTCACTTCCTCATAAAAAGGAAGTAGGTTTGTTTGACAACTTCTGTCTTTTGTGAATCCGTGCCGACTATCACTGATGATATTATTTTCAAGAAAAAACAATTGCATGTGATCCTTGATCAAACTTTCAAGTATCTTGCCAACTATTGAGGTTAAACTTACAGGTCTGTAATTACTTGGTAAAGACTTTGATCCCTTTTTAAATATAAGGGTGGAAAGGGGGCCACCCTTCTTCAGAGACTGCAACATACAGGGGTACAGGTACCCTTAAAAACAAGATCACACAGGGACTCGTGTACACGCATACACATGCAAAATCACATACACACACAGAATAGGTTGAACTTGATGGACCTGTGTCTTTATTCAACCTCAAATACTATGTACCTATGTAACTATAAATGCATATTTTCACAAAGATGGTGACGTTTGTGGGGCCACACAGGTTCCCTTCATCAGGCTCAGTATCAGTGGTTGTTCTCAATGGTGCAAGGGACAGGAAGATGTTTTGCTTTGTTCTTGGAGAGCCATCTTACAGGTTGAGGCTAGCCTCAGTAGCGATGCATAATGATTCCTTTTCTCTGCTCATCTATTAAGCTGGCGACCCCCAACCTGAATTTCAGACAATTTCTGATAAATTGCTGGATGCTGGTGGTGTGCGTGAGCGAGCATGCTCCCAGCACAAAAATATTCCGCATATGCAGTATGCCACACCACAGAAGAAGGCCTACATCCATGATGCTGCATATATGTATTATGCCGGTGGTTACACTGTGTTTTTGAATGTACACTATATGGCCAAAGGTTTGTGGACATCTGCCCATCACACCCAGGGGCTTAACTAGAATTCATGGGGCCCCATAGCAAAATTTTGATGCCCCCCCAACGACCTGGCAATGTCAATTGGGACACTAGTGTAACTTATCGTAACTGAAAGTATATCTAAATCAAGGACAGCAGCATGAGAGATTTTTCCCACCCCTTTACTACTCCAGCCAGTGAGTGCTAGTCAGTAAACAAAAAAATATATATTTACTTAAAATATTAATTATTTTCATTTTATATTTTTACATCATTGTTATTGCTCCTATGCATAATTAATGCTCAATCAACCTCAGAAATAGTGTGTTAGGCCTACAGGGTTAATATGAAAGTGTTGTCCAGGCTGTAAACACAATAAATCTACCCACAAATTGGGGGGGAGGCAGCTTTTCTGGAATAGAGCCATCAGAAAACTTCCTTAGTAGGGCCCCCTTTCCACCCGTAGGCCCCATAATAGCTGTGTTGGCTGCAATGTCTATAGTTACATCATTGATCATACCTCTGTATGGCCAACACTAGGTGAACACCCCCTCCGAATGATTAGTTGTTTACAGAGAAGGGTACTGTTTATACTACAGCATACAATACAGCATACAATTGTGAGCGTCCAGCAGTTTGGTGGAGGCTCTTTTCTGTTCCAGCATGACTGTGCCCTTGTGCACAAAGTCAACTCCTTAAAGACATGGTTCGATGAGCCTGATGTGGAGGAACTTGAATGCCCTGCTCAGAGTTCAACCCTATTGAACACCCTTGGGATGAACCTGAATGCCGATTGTAAGCCAAGACTTCTAATACAACATCAGTACCTGAACGTACAAATGTTCTTTTGGCTAAATGTCCACAAATTCCCACAGGCACATTCCAAAATCTTATGAAAAGCCTTCCCTGAAGAGTGCGGGCCGCAGAGTTGGGAGTAAAGTGTATATTGGCCATATAGCTCAGATAGGAGTGATGATCAGGAGTTCACAAACTTTTGTCTATGGTGTACTCAAACAACTAGGTGTAAACCAGATGACAGTTCTTGGAATTATGGCTTTCTTCATGTGTGTGTGCATTCAGGAGTTTGCATTTAAGGTTAACACTGTGTTTACATGAGAAAGGACAATGCTCTGACTCATATCTCTTTGTTATCTGTCCTTTACAGAGCGTTGCAGGAAAGGTGCTGGAGAAAACAGTTGAAGAGTGGATGCGATATAAAGAAGATTGCTATCAATGGATGATAAGCACACCGCGTCCCCTTGGTTAGCTGACGCTACTCTTTCAAATGTCTGTTGTCTCTTAAAAGAAAATAGACGCGGGCTTAGTAGTGTTATATTTTTCTGGGACTGTACAATAAAACATGTAGAAATTGTCTGGTATTATTGCCTTGACCTGATAGATTCAGGTCAGGGGATAGCAGAATTGGTGAAAGCTGTGCATCTGCCAATTCACAAGGGAGGATGCACTTGTAGGCAGTTGATGTCTTATTAGGAGCAGTCATGACAGAGAATGCAAATGGTGTAGTTTCTTTGTGTTTATTGCAATTCTTATCAACGTCAAAAGAAAGGGACGGGAATGAACTGCTACCGTGCCTAGGGCTGCTTTAAGGGGTAGGCAAACTCTGGCCCTCCAGCTGTGGTGCAACTACAAATCCCAAAAGACATTGCAAGACCCTGAAAGCCACAGGCATGGCTCCGAGAGGTAAATGCATTTTCACCACAACTGGACATCCGGACTTTGACTACCCTTGCTCTAGACTCTGTCACTTTAAAAAAAAAAGTTCTCCCTGCAAAGAAAGCAATTAATACCTGTCCTGCAATCTGGATTGAAGATCTAAGGTTGGTGAAAAATTATCAGGATTCAGCAAACTTCCAGGTGAGTTGATTGCCTTGTCCCCCGTTGTACTTTGTGGTCCCTCCTGCCTGCTCCTGTGTCCTGTAGTGACCTAAGGCAGGCAAAGGAAACTATAGAACTCAGTGGGGGACACCAGCAACCAATACTCTCGGAAGTGTCAAAAGCTGAACATTCTTTAGCAAGTTTGTATCTTCAAGGCAGCCAACTTCAGTGTTGCTTGACAGGTAAGTATTAAGTCTTTTATTTGCAGGGGTGCCTTTTTTTAGTTATGTGTTTTAGTTATGTGGACAAAGACCTTTAGGTATTAATCTGCCTCTGTTCACAGGAGCTTACTGACTTTTAGCCATTATGTGAGTCACATGTAAATAACACTGTAACAAGACTGCTCTTTGTGTTTAAGATTATATATATATA